ATGAGGAAGGAAAATTATGTGGATATATTAAAGCAACATCTCAAGACATCAGTCAGGAAGTTAAAGCTTGGTCGCAAATGGGTCTTCCAAATGGACAATGACCCCAAGCATACTTCCAAAGTTGTGGCAAAATGGCTTAAGGACAACAAAGTCAAGGTACTGGAATGGCCATCACAAAGCCCTGACCTCAATCCTATAGAAAATGTGTGGGCAGAACTGAAAAAGCGTGTGCGAGCAAGGAGGCCTACCACCTGACTCAGTTACACCAGCTCTGTCAGGAGGAATGGGACAAAATTCACCCAACTTATTGTGGGAAGCTTGTGGAAACGTTTGACCCAAGTTAAACAATTTAAAGGCAATGCTACCAAATACTATTTGAGTATATGTAAACTTCTGACCCACTGGGAATGTGATGAAAGAAATAAAAGCTTAAATAAATCATTCTCTCTACAATTATTCTGACATTTCACATTCTTAAAATATATTGGTGATCCTAACTGACCTAAGACAGGGAATTTTTACTAGGATTAAATGTCAGGAATTGTGAAAAACTGAGTTTTAATGTATTTGGCTAAGGTGTATGTAAACTGTAAGTGAGTGTTTGTGTAGGTATGTAATTGAGGAAGTTGGAGCGTCTGTATGTTTCTATTTGTGTTCATGCGTCAGAATAAGGTATTCGAATACCTGAAGCGTTGAAAGGGACCCACTTACCTGTTTAAGTCATCTGTGTCCCAGATGAACTGGTCAGTGAGAGAGAGACAGAGAGACAAAGAGGTGTATGACCATGAAGCATGACTTTCCATAAATCAACATTCCATAAATCAAAAATGACCCCTCAGCCCACATATTCCCATAAAGGGCCATCCGTCTGTGCGATTAAAGTCCTGTCGAAGACATTCAGTACTGGACTCCTCACATCTGATCACATCCACCTTCCCCCCACCGACTTCAGTGAGCAAATGCTCACCTTCGATGGCCACTGGCATGCTGGAGAAGTGGATTAATCCCAGTTTCAACTGTACTGGGCAGATGGCAAACAGCGTGTATAGCATCATGTGGGTGAGCGGTTTGCTTTTGTCAACGTTGTGAACAGAGTGCCCCATGGTGGCAGTGGGGTTATGTTATGGGCAGGCATAAGCTACGGACATCGAACACAATTGCATTTTATCGATGGCAATTTGAATACACAGAGATACCGTGACAAGATCCTGAGGCCCATTGTCATACCATTCATCCGCCGCCATCACCTCCTGTTTCAGCATGATAATGCACAGCCCCAATTCCTGGCAGCTGAAAATGTCCCAGTTCTTCCATGGCCTGCATACTCACGAGACATGTCACCCATTGAGCATGTTTGGGATGCTCTGGATCGACATGTACAACAGCATGTTCGAGTTCCCGCCAATATCCAGCAACTTCGCACAGCCATTGAAGAGGAGTGGTAAAACAGTCCACAGGCCACAATCATCAGCCTATGCGAAGGAGATGTGTGGCGCTGCATGAGGCAAATGGTGGTCACACCAGATACTGACTGGTTTTCTGATCCACGCCCCTACTTAATTTTTTTAAGGTACACTATATATTCAAAATTATGTGGACACCCCTCCAAATGAGTGGATTCGGCTATTTCAGCCACACCTGTTGCTGACAGGTGTATAAAATCGAGCACACAGCCATACAATCTCCATAGACAAACATTGGCAGTAGAATGGCCTTACTGAAGAGCTCAGTGATTTTCAGTGTGGCACCGTCATAGGATGCCACCTTTCCAACAAGTCAGTTAATAAAACCTCTGCCCTGCTAGAGCTGCCCCGATCAACTGTGAGTGCTGTTATTGTGAAGTGTAAACGTCTAGAAGCAACAATGGCTCAGCTGCGAAGTGGTAGGCCACACAAGCTCACAAAACGGGACCGGCGAGTGCTGAAGCGCGTAATGCATAAAAATCATCTGTCCTCAGTTGCAACACTCACTACCGAGTTCCAAACTGCCTCTGAAAGCAACGTCAGCACAAGAACCATTCGTCAGGAGCTTCATGAAATGGGTTTCAAAGGCTGAGCAGCCGCACACAAGCCTAAGATCACCATGCGCAATGCCAAGCGTTGGCTTGAGTGGTGTAAAGCTTGCCGCCATTGGACTCTGGAGCAGTGGAAACGCGTTCTCTGGAGTGACGATTCACACTTCACCATCTGGCAGTCCGATGGACAAATCTGGATTTGGCGTATGCCAGGAGAACGCTACCTGCCCGAATGCATAGTGCCAACTGTAAAGTTTGGTGGAGGAGGAATAATGGTCTGGGGCTGTTCGGGCTAGGCCCCTTAGTTCCAGTGAAGGGAAATCTTAATACTACAGCATACAATGACATTCTAGACCATTCTGTGCTTCCAACTTTGTGGCAACAGTTTAGGGAAGGCCCTTTCCTGTTTCAGCATGACAATGCCCCTGTGTACAAAGCAAGGTCCATACAGAAATGTTTTGTCGAGATCGTTGTGGAAGAACTTGACTGGCATTCACAGAACCCTAACCTCAACCCCATCGAACACTTTTGGGATGAATTGGAACGCCGACTGCGAGCCAGGCTAATCGCCCAAAATCAGTGCCCGACCTCACTAATGCGCTTGTGGCTGAGTGGAAGCAAGTCCCTGCAGCAATGTTCCAACATCTAGTGGAAAGCCTTTCCAGAAGAGTGGGGGCTGTTATAGCAGCAAAGGGGGGACCAACTCCATATTAATGCCCATGATTTTGGAATGAGATGTTCGATGAGCATGTCGTGTATCTGTACCAACAGATGCATATCTGTATCCTCAGTCATGTGAAATCCATAGATTAGGGCCTAATGAATGTATTTCAATTGACTGATTTCCTTATGAATTGTAACTCAGTAAAATCTTTCAAATTGTTGATGTTGCGTTTATATTTTTGTTCAGTGTAGTTTGTGACAAAACAAGCAAGTAGAGAATCATTGTACCATCTAAACCGCTGATTAATATATTGTATTATAAAATATTGTATTTTCAGCTGTTTGAAGCTGGTGTACAAAGCACACAAGTAAAAGATGCAAAAATGGGAAGCCTAGAAAAAGCACACAGAACAAATGTACCGCTTCTAACACACGTAAATGGGAATTTGGTCAGGTCGCCAAAAAAGTTAAATATTGCAGCTTTAAGAGACCAATAAGAAAGAGTTCAGAACCTCTGCCAATAACAGCTACTTTTCCCCTCCCCACTCAGACCACTCCCAGAGTTCCAGAAAAAGTATTGCTTGAGAAATTGATCTTGCTAAAAAGCTATTGTTTCTTTTTGACTATTTGAATTGAAAACAATCGCAGTAAGGTACTTAATTGTTACCCAGAAATTATTTGATATTGAGATTTTTTTTAAACAGCTGCATTGGGCCTTTAAACAAATCCCTTCCTTATTAGTACAAAGCTGGAAAAATAGACAAACAATGTAAAGAGATACAAAATCAAGACTCAGCTAACCAAGTGGTTTATTATTAGTAAATAGTGTTATACACTGGATTATCAAAAACATCAATTATCTGGTACAAATAATCCACACAGAAGCAACACGTCAATGGTACAGGAGTCCTTCAGTTTTACATGGTCGTTGGCAAACCGTGCTCAACATTCAAGTTCAACTAATCAGCATATGAGTCAGTCACTATCAAAGGCACAATGAAATAGCTTGAAATGTGTTAAATAGTCAAGTTGTCCAGTTTAGTTCAGTAAGGGTCACAAAAAGGTTTGTTCCATTCACTGAACATATGCATGCATTTTATATAAACTGTGGCACCACATTCAAATATTACATGTAATTATTTTACTGTGGTCATCGATCATTATCCAACAGCACTTCCCATTTAGCAAATTAATGAAATATGCTCCCGTTTATTGTACCACATTGGCAATACAGTATCACCTTCAAGAGCTGAAGGGATTTCCACACTGTAACACATTCATCTTACAACCTACTGTTACTGACATGCTCACACACACATCCTGTGTCTCTGCGCCATTGTTGAGTCCCAAGTGGCATCCTATCCTCTATATAACGCACTACTTTTGATCCGAGCCCTATGGGCCCTGGTCAAAAGTAGTGCACTATAAAGGGAATAGGGTGCCATTTGGGATGCAGCCTTACAACCTCAGGGGACTGTACCAAAGGGACTTTCCATGATCTACAACACAATGTAAGGCTACTGGTGCTAGCATCAATATCAGCTGAGTTAAAGGCACTGCTTTTATACTGCACCACACGGATAAACACACGTAAAAAAATACATTGCATTGATTTGCTTAATGTTGTGTGAGTACATCTATGAGGTTAGCTGTAGAGGTACGTAAAGGCTAATAATTCATTAGTCAAATCAGCTGTGTGTTACACTGGTCCATTGTCCAGCGGTCTTGGATGTGCCTGTGCATATATAAATGCTATATAGCATTAACACTGTAGTTTACATTTAACCACCCCCTCATCTAATTGATTGAAGCCAGAAAACAGATGAGAATAAACTGGAGCTACCCAGAAGAAAGGATTGTTTGAAGTGGCTGCATGAGCGCTTCTTCTTTGTGTCCATTCCCGTCACACTGTGCATGTCGAATTGCCGCCGAACTGCGGCCATACCCATGACCGGAAAGAGTCTCCCCTTTTCTTCTTGTTTTATCGCAACCTAGTACCCCAGACACTGAGGCTGACGGGAGGCTTACAGAAGGTGTGAGCTCCAAAAACCAGTAGGCAGCCATTACAGAAAATACTGCCACATCTTCATCACCTCCCAGCTTGTGTCCCATTGGACCAGAATGATTTATATTATCAGTCAGAACTCAGACTCAGACAGGAATAGGATCATACATTGACTGGAGACCGGTAAAAAGAGTTGGTCCTGTATTTGTTGTGGGTCTGTAAGGCACTGTGTTAGCGCTAGTGCTGGAGGGACAGACAGCCGGAGAGTCAGGGTTCAGTGACTCTAGGCCTGGTCTTCGCTCAGCGGTGGGGTTCCCCTCAGTTTCCTCCAAGGGGTGGGGCTGTAGGCATGGTGTGGGGGGAGGAGAGGGGGCTCACGTTGCTAGAGCCTGGGGGAGGAGGGCGACGTCTTCTCCCCATGTCCAGCAGCTCTTCATCCTGAGGATGAGACACAGTGATTAGCTGATATGTCATTAGGCTGATCTCAGGCTTAAAAGTCTCAAAAAGGAGAGAGAAAGTGATAAGACGGCCCAAGTCCTAAAATGTCCTCTTATTTTACACTGTCATGCAATACAGAGTTAAAAAAGCATCAACATTGTCCTGTGTAGCCCAGTTGGTAGAGCATGGCGCTTGCAATGCCAGGATTGTGGGTTCAATTCCCAAGGGGGACTAGTACAAAAATATATGCACTCACTCTGGATAATAGCGTCTGCTAAATGACTCAAATGGGAAAATGGAAACCCTTCACCGCACCGTGTCTGCAGTCTCCTCCCCCTCAGTGGTGTGTTCGCTGTAGTGATTGGACAGCTCAAAGTCTGAGTAGGCACTCTCCACCGCCTCCTCCTCATAGTCTGTGGGGTAGTCGGACTCCTCTGAGATAAGGAAGGGTAATGGAGAGGGAAGCGTGGCGGGGTGGAGAGATGGAAAGGTGCATGAAGAGTGGATAGGGGTGATGAAAGGAGGAAGGTGGGGTGTGTACAGGAACAGTCATAGCTGCATATGAATCATAATTTAACCAACCATCTTGTCGCTCTGAAACAAATGTATCTGCTAAGTGAGTGTGGCAGCATTCACAGAGCCCAGACAATAGTCAACAACAACAAGCAAGGAGAAAGACAAGATAGGCTTATTTTCTATCTTCCCCAGGACAGCAGGAGGCAGAGTGCCAAACCCATGAAAGAGAGGGGAGGGGGGTGAAAAGCTAGCAGAGCGGCATTAAAAACATAAATATTAAATTACTCCAGCTGTGATGGTAACAGGAAGGTCGACAGCTAACTAGCTACTGGCTCGCAGCCTCTTCCCAGCTGGCAATAAAAAAAAAGGCATTTTACAGTTAAAACAAGACAGTTACAGCTTTCCCCTCTCTTGTTGCCAAATAGCTGGGGTCCCAGAGGACATGTGGTACTGTGGTACTGTGGCCTTGTTGTTATAGGCCTACACCTTATAATGCCTGTTTGACCTCCATAGCACTCTGCTGCTCTATGTGCAGATCAGATCATCTGCCAGTCTCACCGTCGACCAGAGCTGGTTTGGCCAGATCGATGCGGGACACGATCTCTGCCAGGTCAGTGAAGGAGGCATTGGGACAGGTCACAGGTCCCTGCAGATCACATAGCACACAGGTGTCATTCACTAGAGGCCTCATACAGAAATCATTCAGAATAATAGCATTAAAATACACAATTCTACATTATCTAGTCATATATAAAGCACTCCTTTAAAAAAACGGCATAATCAAAACTCTGTAAAAGTATGATGTCTGCAACTCCTCCTCTAATAGTGAGTGAGGTTTTTCTCCCTCCCTCCCTCCCTCCCTCCCTCCCTCACGTTGTTGTTGCTGTGTGTGTTGTGAAACTCCTCCTGGTGGCGGTCCTTCAGCATCTTCTCCACCACTCCACTGCGACTCCAAACGTCAAACACCGTCTTGCCATGCTGGTAGCCCACCTCCTGCAGGACACACACACACACACACACACACACATAATACTCACACACACACTGAATGTAATGTAGCTAAAGGGGGGGGGGGGGGGGTGAGCGAGAGGAAGCAAAAGCGAGAAAGAGAATAACAGAGACTGACTGCCCATGTCAAAGACCGAGAGAGACTCACAGCGATCTCGTCGAACTTGCCAAACTCCAGTGTGCGGTAGCGGTCTATGGGCGGTCTGATGTACTCGCAGTAGTCACTGCTCTTCACCGACTCCAGCTGACGCACACAGCACACGTATGCCAGCCGCGTCTGAATCTCTGCCATGTTCAACACCTACAGGGGTCAAAGGTAAAATACCACAACACTTAGCACAGCAGGGTTACAACTGTGCACATACCTCCAGTGTCTATTGTGTCCAAAACAGCACCCTATTCCTTATGTAGTGCACAACTTTTGACCAGAGCAAAAGTAGAGCACTAAATAGGGAAGAGGGTACCATTTGGGACACATACTAAGTAACCCTATACATTCCGAGTTATTGAAAAATTGCATAAATATTCTTAGTGAAAGACAACATTATTTTCACTCAGATATGAACCCAATACAATTTCATAGAAATGAATTGCAAAGTAGGACAAAACATGAATGCCATATAATTACACCATATCTTTAGGTTTACACAGTACCTGAGGCTGTAGTCCTATACAGTGCTGTGAGAGAGGCTCACCTTGACTTTCTCTGCCAGTGGGTTGAGACGTTTCCATAGCAGCCACCAGCCGGAGAGCGAGTCGCCGTAGTTGGTGAGGTTGGTCTCATCCTGGCTGCCCACGTCTATGGCGATCACCACCTTGGCACCCATGGAGCGAGCCACGTCCGCTGGGAGAGGGGCAGAGGCAGGCTTAGGGCTTAGACAGTAACAATGAACATTTAGGAGTTCTACATTTTACACTTGTACATATACAGTGAGGGAATTAAGTATTTGATCCCCTGCTGATTTTGTACGTTTGCCCACTGACAAAGACACGATCAGTCTATAATTTTAATGGTAGGTTTATTTGAACAATGAGAGACAGAATAACATCAACAAAATCCAGAAAAACGCATGTCATAAATGTTATAAATTGATTTGCATTTTAATGAGGGAAATAAGTATTTGACCCCTCTGCAAAACATGACTTAGTACTTGGTGGCAAAACCCTTGTTGGCAATCACAGAGGTCAGACGTTTCTTGTAGTTGGCCACCAGGTTTACACACATCTCAGGAGGGATTTTGTCCCACTCCTCTTTGCAGATCTTCTCCAAGTCAAAGGTTTCGAGGCTGACGTTTGGCAACTCGAACCTTCAGCTCCCTCCACAGATTTTATATGGGATTAAGGTCTGGAGACTAGCTAGGCCACTCCAGGACCTTAATGTGCTTCTTCTTGAGCCACTCCTTTGTTGCCCTGGCCGTGTGTTTTGGGTCATTGTCATGCTGGAATACTCATCCACGACCCATTTTCAATACCCTGGCTGAGGGAAGGAGGTTCTCACCCAAGATTTGACGGTACATGGCCCCGTCCATCGTCCCATTTGATGCAGTGAAGTAGTCCTGCCCCCTTAGCAGAAAAACACCCCCAAAGCATAATGTTTCCACCTCCATGTTTGACGGTGGGGATGGTGTTCTTGAGGTCATAGGCAGCATTCCTCCTCCTCCAAACACGGCGAGTTGAGTTGATGCCAAAGAGCTCGATTTTGGTCTCATCTGACCACAACACTTTCACCCAGTTCTCCTCTGAATCATTCAGATGTTCATTGGCAAACTTCAGACGGGCCTGTATATGTGCTTTCTTGAGCAGGGGGACCTTGCGGGCGCTGCAGGATTTCAGTCCTTCATGGCGTAGTGTGTTACCAATTGTTTTCTTGGTGACTATGGTCACTGCTGCCTTGAGATCATTGACAAGATCCTCCCGTGTAGTTCTGGGCTGATTCCTCACCGTTCTCATGATCATTGCAACTCCACGAGGTGAGATCTTGCATGGAGCCCCAGGCCGAGGGAAATTGACAGTTATTTTGTGTTACTTCCATTTGCGAATAATCGCACCAACTGTTGTCACCTTCTCACCAAGCTGCTTGGCGATGGTCTTGTAGCCCATTCCAGCCTTGTGTAGGTCTACAATCTTGTCACTGACATCCTTGGAGAGCTCTTTGGTCTTGGCCATGGTGGAGAGTTTGGAATCTGATTGATTGATTGCTTCTGTGGACAGGTGTCTTTTATACAGGTAACCAGCTGAGATTAGGAGCACTCCCTTTAAGAGTGTGCTCCTAATCTCAGCTCGTTACCTGTATAAAAGACACCTGGGAGCCAGAAATCTTTCTGATTGAGAGGGGGTCAAATACTTACTTCCCTCATTAAAATGCAAATCAATTTATAACATTTTTGACATGCGTTTTTCTGGATTTTTTGGTTGTTATTCTGTCTCTCACTGTTCAAATAAACCTACCATTAAAATTATAGACTGATCATGTCTTTGTCAGTGGGCAAACGTACAAAATCAGCAGGGGATCAAATACTTAATTCCCTCATTGTACATAGGACAAATATAACCACCCACCAAATAATAATTAGTAGTACATCGCTGAGCAGGAGAGAAGTAGTCTGTGTGTTGTATGCGTTTGTGAGTGAGAAGGAGGCCTTAACCATATGTAACACCTATGCCGATCCCCACCTTGTCTTACCTTGCCACTGCAGTGTGTGTTCGTGTGTGTGTGTGTGTGTGTGTGTTGCTGACCTGGCAGGTTGTTGATGTAGCCGCCGTCCATCAGCAGGTGTCCGTCTTTAGGGTCACATAGAGGGGGCAGGTAGCCAGAGAGAGACATGCTGGCACGCACGTACCTCCAAAGAGAACCTGAGAGAGGGGAAATTGACATATGGAGGTGGATAAAAGAGGGAGAGGTGCCTTCTTCATAATCCAATTTCTCATCAGTTAAAACAGAGAAGGAAAGAGGGTGAGAGATAGAGAGAGGGTGTGAGAGAGAGAGGGTGAGAGAGAGAGAGAGAGAGAGTGAGAGAGAGAGAGGGTGAGAGAGAGAGAGTGAGAGAGGGTGAGAGAGAGAGAGAGAGAAGAGACACACACAGAGCTTGGAGGCCTAACCGTCAGTGTGCACTCTCATGGTGGAGGCAGTGATGTCAGTGGTGATGTTGAAATAAGGGATCCACAGGTCCTGCACAAACAACAGCACCACTAGTCATTAAATGGTCATGTTGATATTGCAATTGTAAAAGAAGGTTCAGGGCGGCAGCTTAATTCCCCTCAATTATATTTATTGCTGACGCATTTCGAAGCAAGCTCCTTTTCTTATTAGGTTGATATAATAAGTTAAATCTTTATCAGACCGTATACAACAGGCAATTTTTTAATTGATGTATTTAATCTACTCTGTTTACACAGGTGATCACATTAAGATGAAAAATGCCTTTTACAAGAGAGTCCCAAGACTGTCTAACTCCAACTGTGCTGTGAGGGTTTCTTTGTTTCTCACCTCTATCTGCTTGCCCTGGAACACTGTGTAAATGCTGGAGTTGAAGGCAGCGCCAGAGAACATAGAAGTGATGGGGTAGGTCAGATCCAACACCTTCTTAAACATGGACGTCATCTCCTGCAATATACCGCCAAGTAGACCGGGAAAAATCGATGACAACATGCATATTTCACCTTTATTTGACCAAGTTGTCCCATTGAAGTCAAAATACTGTGTCTTCAAGGTTGACCGGCCAAAATGTAAACACTTGCCAATAGGTGACACATGAAGGTTGAGTGAAGATCAAATTAATATTTCTCAATTTGTCTTTCCTCGATTCCTCGCGTCCTCTCTCCTTGCCTCCTTCTCAAGGCATTTTGGATAAAAAGATACAATGTCCTTCCATTTGGAGAAGGCGGTGAGGACGGGGGGGGCGGCAGGTAGCCTAGCGGTTAAGAGCGTTGGGCCAGTAACCTAAAAAAATCTGTTGATGTGCCCTTGAGCAAGGCACAACCTTAATTGCTCCTGTAAGTCGCTCTGGATAAGAGCATCTACTAAATGACTAAAATGTCAAATGTAAAATGACAGAGGAATCGAGGAAAGATACATTGAGAAAGAGACTAGCTGTGGTGAGTTCCTCTCACCATAGCCCACTCTCGCGCCCTCATCCTCATGCGGCTGTGACTGCGGTCCTCTGCATACAGCGCCCCCATCAGGGAACCGATGGAAACACCTCCTACCAGGTCCACAGGTATCCCTGCCTCACTCAGAGCATTCATGATACCCACCTGAGAACAGCCCCTGAGAGACAGTGAGAGAGAGTATGAGAGGAAAGAGAGTGAGACATTTTAAATATGTTAACTCCAAAAGACAACACATATAAACATACAAGCTCCCTCATTAAACTTATAGGAATGTAGATTGAGGTAATGTCTTGGCTTTCATCATCATGTTTGTGGTTCTGATGACTAACAAGCCTCTGCAGTTTTCCCTGTATCTGGCAGGTGTACTAACAGATTGCATTGCAGGTTCATGGAAATGGTTTCACACAACAGACTCAACTCATCTCCATTTATGTGTACTGTTAGAGATTGTAACTGCCAAGTAACCAACTTGTTTAACACTACCACATATGTCAACACCAGTACCACACCAATTCACAAGGGGCCCGATTCAGACTTAGGAAATGTACGCCTTACCCTATGCATGCCTTTCCTACGCATGCCTTTCCTACGCACTTCTCAGTAGTTGGTATTCAGACTTACCTTATGCAGGTGCGTAACGGGATTTGCAGGTGTGGTTCCCTTGCGCGCGCTGAATACATTTAATAATTCAACCACTGAAAGTCCTCCCACTTGCTGGACAACAGATTTTCTCGTGGAGTTTGCATTCAATAGGGTTTTCAGTACATTTATCTTAAGCCTTCCCTTTAAATACGGTGTACCTTTAATTAAAGTTTTGTTGACAGACTCACTAGAAGACATTTGAGAGAACGGGTTCAGAATATATGGATCAATAAAAGAAAGCCATCTAAACGTATGCATATTCGTCTCTGTTTCAGCACCAACTGGTAGATTTAAAAATATTTTTGTAGATTATTTAGGCACATTATAGGGTTTGGAAAGTATTGATGAATCATAAAAAACAGGGTTAAGAGCCTTTACGCATAAAATATATTGAGGAATCAAAAATACAGTGGTTTGCTTCATCCTGAAAGTTGCCATATTTAAGTTCAATGCATGACATATTGGATGGTCGAAAAAAAGTGTACAATATGGGTTGAACAATAATCCTATAAATCTACCCTAAATCATGGAACTGTATGACAATGGTCCAGTCGTTGTGAACTGTGCGCCAGGCTGCAGGTTTAAACTGCTACGTGTGGTCTGAGTTCCATAACGATTCAAATAAGCTACATGTCCCAAATTACTGCACAACATTAGCCTAATATGATCCGCTATTGCTAGCAACCCACCGGAAAAACTACACAGACGTGACAGAGAAAATAAAAGGTAAACGGAATGGAAAGGTAGGCTACAAATTGAAGGAAACTAACACTAAAGTGACAGTTATAAATGTATGTGGATATTACGGACGGTGGCTCCCGATACTGGCTAATATTTAACATGATAGAAATTGTCTAATAAAACAGAGAAAAGCCTGGGTCTCCAAATTTCATCCCTGCAAATTATGAGGGCATACAATTACAATTCTGAATAACGGCACAGCTATTTATATCATAAGGAAATATTTTCTAAAACAATTGCTATATGTGTATTTACAATCCCCTTCTCCAAACAGATTCCTAATTTACCTAGCTCTAATCAATAGCTATTATAAATGTTTAAATTACAGTGCATGGAGATTCTATCGGAAAAAAGAAAGTAGATGCTTTTTCCACTTGGAACCGGTAGGTTTGCCCGACCTTATTCATGGTTTCCTCGCGTGTAAAGATGACTTAATTCCCCTAATAATTCAACCAAGGTCAGAATACGGATTATCTGCAGACACACCTCCGCCACACCTTCATTTCTTTGATCACCCCAAACTAATAGCGGGTGAATAGCATGCTATTCTCATACTTAAGTTCAAGGTCAGAATACACAGAGAGAAAGGGGCATGAAAAGGAAAGTACCTCCCATTTACGCGTGCTTAACGCGAGTCCAAATTCACCAAGGGGAACAAGACAAATATTAAAACAAAGCATTTAAAAGACACGAGTTGAGAGAGAGAGACCAGAGGAACCAACCTTGAAACATCTCCTGAACACAACACACAAAAACAGGACAAACAGAAGGAGAAGAGAGAAAAAGACACGAGAAGAAGAGAAAATGAAATGAGCAAGGAATTACATGTGGCAGAAAAGTGGAAGCAGTCTGCTTTGAGTGTTTCATGCATTAGGAAAGACAACACACACACCCCGGTAAGGCTTCATAGAAATGACTATAGTGACTATACATAGGGCCTAGTGATTTCAGTGACCTAGAGGTCAGAGGTTAGAGATCAGGGGTCATTGGGGCGTACCTGGCCCCTCCTCCCCCCAGTATAAGGGCGATGGCGTTCCCGGTCAGGACCCTGGCCAGGCGGGAGAAGTCTGAGTGGCGGTCAGCTGGTTTCTGGAACACACGCTGATACATCTCAATCTGGAGAGGAGAGCCACACACAGCAGATATTAAAACACTGTTTCTTAAATGGTGGGACACTGGAAATAACTGTGGGGTTGTGAGGCAATTCTTCCTTAGTTAAAGGTTAGGGGCGTGAACATTTAAATGTCAAAACAAAATTGGGATGCTTAGCATTAAGAAAAGTCCCCTAACGCAAAAACTGTGGGTTTTTTGTTTTACGTCAATGCAGAGAATAAACAGTATTTCCACAACAACTAAGAGCGTTGAAGCACGATGCTCAACTTCTCCGCTGTTTTGGTGCCCTGGCTACCACTCTGTGAACAGCATAAAGCGAAACATTACACATGCGCAGATACTATGTGTGACTGAAGTGTTGCATCTCGCTCATTCTCAATATCCTAGCCTATTCATTTATGATAGGCCCTGCTTTACTGAAGTTGCGAGACACAGCATTCCATTGCGAGACACAGCTTTGATTGCTGATAGATTGGCCTAGTGCACGGTTCTGACTGTCTGCTCTGCCTGGTGGCCGACCTGCCCCTCCCCCTTCGCTCTGTGTGAGTGTTTGTGTTCTCAGAAGTACGGCAACTAATCAGTCTCCTCCGTTCCAAAAATACTGAATCTTAGGAGTCAATTCTTAACGGAAACTAATCTTGACACTCAAATGGGAGTCGATGCCAGGAGTCGACGTGCAAGGAGTCGAGGAATCAATTATTTTGGAGTCGACACTTCACCACTAAGTCATCATCGTTAACAGTTGAAAAAATGGCAGAGAAAGGCAAGTGACGGCAGTGAAGTCCTGTATGGCAATATATTAAGAAGTTAAATGAGAAGGAAAAGCAAACTTTGCGAGGTGGAATTGAGGTACAGTAATGGTAGTACAGATGAAATGCTTTACCATCTGAAAGGGACACACCATGAGACTCAAACCGTTGCTGGCAGCAGCATTGTGAATTCACGTGGAATTTATTTAACGGAAAACCGATACAAAAATGGCAGTTTAAACGTTAAAGAAAAATGTACCAATTGTACATTGCGTGTGCAGTTTTGGCAGATCAGATGTGTGTGTGCCCAGTTTGGGAAGATCAGGTGTGTGTGTGTGTACCAGTTTGGGCAGGCTCCTCTTGGAGAAGACCCTGCGTGGGCAGGAGAGGTGCAGGTGTCTAGAGATCCAGCTCCTCATGTTGAGCCACTCCACAGTGCCCTGGGGCGGGGGGCCGTCCTCCCTGTGTAACAACACCAGCTGCTTCTGGGCCCTCACCGCACTGCCCTCCAGCATCCGCTCCAACTACAGGGTCAAAGGTCAGGGGTCAACTAGAGGTTGGCCAAGGAGAAGTAGGGCATAGTTTGTCCAGAATTAAACAGGCATATACTGCATACAACATACTGAGATGAAAGGAGTGTCTTACACAATAGTATCAAGTCACTTGAGTCTGTGTCTGGTTGGCCTTCCTCTCTTTATCTCAGTAAATGGATATCATATCAGACCCTGCCACCAAGCCTCAGACAGTGTATAAAATCGGTCATTAGGTTCCTTACCACAAAGTCCCAGATGAAGTCCCAAATGGCAGCGTTTCCCCCATTTAGAGCACTACTTTTGACCAGGGCCCATAGGGAGTAGTGCACTATGTGAGGACTAGGGTGCCATTTGGGACGCACACCCGGTGTTTGAGCTGGGTAGAGAGGGTGAGGAGGAGATACAATCAACCAGAAGCTATGACTAATTCTGCTGCATGAACAAATATTGATCCACCTTCCAGTTCGGTCTTCAACTCCATTTTAAAGAGAACACCTCCATTCTTTCCCTATTCTTATTTCAATACTATTTTTCCCTCTCCAGTAGATGCAATTACTTTTCCTCCAAATGGCCCACTCAGACCCTCATATATATATCTCCACCTCTTCCCCCACATCCTTCTCTACCTCCTTTCATTCTCTCGACCCATCCCCACTGCTCTCTATATCTCTAGGGTTGAGAAACATACAATGCATTGTAGGTTTGGCCATTAAGCCTGTTTAAAACCCACGGCAAACACATGACTTAAGAACCTAAGGATCTACACTGACCCTAATCCCACATCAAACACAGTGGCCTGCTCTGCCAAGCACCATGCTAACACGCTAAGGTAGCTAACCTCTCCCCAAGCACCATGCTAATACGCTAAGCTGGCTAACCTCTCCCCAAGCATCATGCTAACACGCTAAGCTAGCTAACCTCTCCAAATGCTAGTTTTGCAACAAAAACGGGAGGTCCCTCCCTGTTTTGTTCGTTTGTCTCCCCTGCTCATTGTCTGTCTGTCTGTCTGTCTGTCTGACAAAACAGGGAGCAACCTACCGGAATTTGTCCAATAGAAACTCTTGTTTTCGTTGCAACTGTTTGCCTCGGTGTATACTAATGATTACACCCCAGGAGAGGGGCCGCTTTCCTCTGCTTCTGAAGCTTTTGCTGCCTCTGAAGATATTCAAAGGCAATGCAAATTTAGTAAGTGTGGTCACGTAGTTGCAGTCTCAGCAAAACGCACGCAAACGTATTGCTAAATCATCTGTCTCCAGTCGCACTAAGTGAAAGCACATAAAAATCATAAATTATTCTGTACAGTCCAAATGTGTTACAAGTGACTGAGACTCATAGGATGGCTCAGTAGAATTCAATTTTCCAAAATCAGTTCCCCTCCCAGAGCCCCCAGTCCCTCCTGGTTCCCCCCTTACCTCCCCCACAGCGGGGTCTTGCTCCCCCAGTCCCACAATGATGATGCAGTCGGCCTGGCGGATACAGCGTTGGGTCCAGGGAGTCAGGGTGTAGTCGGTCTGGTAGAGCACGATGCGGTGGATATCCTCCTGCTGGCCCAGCCAACTGGACAGACGATACTCATGAACACTGACACAGAGACAGACAAGACACACACAGACAGAGACAGAGACACAAGAGGATGAAGTGCGAGAGAGACAGTGATTTACTTATTTAAAAATATAAGGAACCCTTTATAATGCATGTGAGTAGTTCAAGATGCACACATACCCATTCAGTCAAGCTCACCTGTCCAGTGCGGCCGCTCCCAGGCGCTGCTTGATGCTGTCGCTGGTCAGTAGAAGTGTGGGGCCTATGAAGAAGGACAATTTAGGTCAGGTCTGTGGAAAGGGCATAACTAAATCAAATTACATTGTATTTGTCACATGCTTGGTAAACAACAGGTGTCGACTAACAGTGAACTGCTTACTTACGGGTCCTTTTCCAACAATGCAGAGTTAAAGATAATAAATAAAACAGAAACGAGACGAGGAATAAATACACAGCCATAGTACAACCGTACTAACTCATATCATTCCCAAGGCGCTATAGCTTTGGAAGCGATGAACTGGCACAACGCTGACACAGACTCAGCTCCTTCTACTGGGGAGGACGGACAATTCAAGGTCCCCATGAATGGAGATCATTAACTCAGCTCCAGCAGAGTATTAAATCATAGGAACGAGCACCCGGGCATAAACACAATGTCACCCCCCCCTTATCTATATAGCTGAGAAATCTATGGAAGGGCAGCACTGCTGAACTGCACTGTCTAGACAGCCTTGAACTAACTTGATGAAGAGAGAGGTGGAATGTGTGTGTGTGTGTGTGGTTACCAATGGTGATGAGTGCGTGCTGCAGCTCCAGTGTGAAGGCTGTGAGAGGCACCTCCTCAGACACAGGCAGCACGGTGACAGTGGACAGGTTGGAAGCCGGGTTCCCTGCATCCCACTTACTGCCTGGGGTGTGCAGGGCCAGGCTCCGAGCTGGGAGGAGGACAGACACACAGCCATGGATGGAGAAAGCAACATTATCAGAAAAACATATTACACATAGCAGGTAAAGAAGGAGTTCAATCCTTCTGGGTAGAACAGATGCCTTTACACACACACACACACACACACACCTGTCAGAGGGCCATTGACCTGCTGAAGGATCTTCTGACCAAGAAGGTGGATCAACCTCGTGACTACCTAAAACACAAGAAAGAGAGCGTCAGCATGTGTGTGTGTGTGTGTGTGTGAGAGAGAGTGAGAGAGAGAGTGAGTCAAAACCAGTCATAGACCAAATTAAACTTCTCAAATTGTATCTGTCCCATTATGGCGTCTGTGAAAGCACCGTAGAGGCCATCTCTATTTTAAAGTAGTCCATTTAATATTCTACTACTTCTATGAGTTGGTAAACAAACTGAAAGGGTGCATACTGCCACCTGGAGTGTGTTGTTTGAACAGGTATAAAGCCACAGTTGGTGATTTACTGCCACCTGCAGTTATGGAATGTTTGCTCACAAGTCAAATTAAATTGGCTGATCCCTCCGGATGACCTTGATGGAATCATGTGATCCTTCCCACACAGTTAACTACTTCACAAATGGTGAAAATCCTCAATGGCGCTGACAATGTTAAAACCTGTTTTCGGGCATTAGAGTCATCTATCTAAGTCTATGAAGCCAGTTGACCTACATACCTGTGGGAACTTCCTCTTAATGTAGCTGAGTGCTCCCTCTGGTAGTTTGGCTAGCTCTGAGTCCCGTACTGCATGCACCGTGGTCGCTCTGTTCTGATGGGTCAGGGCCTCCACCTGGGCGGGGACACAACAAACACCACAGGCTCCCATTGGTCAACACTGCAAATCATCCCTCAATCATTATAGGGACTATGCACCAAACTAACCCTTAACACTCTTGCAATTGATTTAATAATCATTGCACATTCCTTGTTTTCATGTGGAGTTGAAGTGATCTTAGCCCTACAAATAGGAACATATTTAGTTAAAAAAGCACTCACTGGTGCAGAAAATGTAAATCACTATTTAAGATAAAACTTGTGATCAGAGGAATGGATCAAAAACAGCATGGTGAGCCAGACTTTTTAAGCCCCGGTGATTCTCCTGTCCATTTTCATCAGCACCAACCAGCCAACCAGCCAGCCAACCAGCCAGCCAACCAGCCAGCCAACCAGCCAACCAACCAACCAGCCAGCCAACCAGCCAGCCAACCAGCCAGCCAACCAACCAACCAGCCAACCAGCCAGGGACCTTTCATCTCTCTCTGTAATAACACTGTGGTGCTGGTACACACAGGGTCTAATTCTGTATCCTAGCATCAGGATCCCTGACGCGCATTCCACGCTCTCCTGAATCTGTCCTCACGGACACCGTAACTACGGCTACCCTCTGGAGCCGGTAACCATGGCATCGGGCGATTCGGCTCGGGCAGGTATTCTTAGCAACATGGGCGTCGCTGCAAATCCACGTCAGCCAATGGGAGCGTGATGCAGTGAATTAATAGGTGTGGATAGATAAGGGAGAGGGGTTACCAAACAGAGCTAAATCCTCTATGGACAGCAGGGACACACACACAACTCTGAGATGTTGTGAATAGCCCCGTCATGGTGGGGCTTACTCATGATCCTGCATGAAACAGTGTGAGTCTGTGTCTAAATGGGTTTGCTTACGTCTACAATCAATAAAACTATGAATTATTTAAAAGCCTGGCATTGTTTGTTCTACGGACGCAGCGTTTTTAAAATGGTACCACCCATTGTGCCCCCTGACATTTGACCCCTTACCACGCCGATGAGGTCACCACGGCCGTACTCTCCGGTCAGCTCCTTCTTGCCGTCCTCCTTCATGATGACAGAGCGCAGACGGCCACTCAGAACTATGAAGGTGCTGTCGGACTTATCCCCCTGTCTGAGAGAGAGAATTGTTTCAACTTTAGCCAGACACAAATTCAAGCTTCTGAATTAGTGTGGATTGTCGACTATAGAATGTGGATTGTTGTAATGTCTTGACTTTCATTACCGTGTTTGAGGTTAAAGGGATATTGCGAGAATTCTGTCGTTTTTCTACTTACCCAGACAAACTCTTTGAAACCATTTTTATATCTCTGCGTGCAGTTTGGAGATGATTGAAATTGGCGCTCAATGGCGCTGCCCGTGCGTTAACAGACGCCATAATGGGACAGATACAACGTTGCAATCTCTATATATCTCTAAGCGACAGAGAACGAGGAAGTGGATAGAATCTTGTTTCTTATGATTATCAGTCAAATTAAAAAGATTATAAAATAATGATTACTATGTATAGGTTTGTAGGACTATAAAATGTCCAACCACCCAGCTTTGGAGTAGTTAGTTCTATTTTCCTCCTTTTGAGAGGAGCTGGCTAGTGTACTGGGAGAATTCCAGCAATTGCGCTAAAATAAAGATATGCTAACTTCAATAATCTCCAAACTGCACGCAGAGACATAACAATGGTATACATGAGTTCGCCTGTCTCTGGGTAAGTAGAAACAAATCTTGAAATCTTGCAGTATCCCTTTAAGACTAATCACTCTTGTGGTTTCATTGTAGATGTACCATCTCTAGATGAGATAGAAATACTGTAGATCAGTGAAGTCTGTAAAGCTGAACTGTGTGATTGATTGTAGACATCGGTGTGGACAAAGGGGTTACCTACCTGTAGACCGCCCGGCCGGCCTCCACAGCCATCCAGTCCAGAGCAAAGTCTATCTGCCTGACGAAGGACGACATCCTTCGAACGACCGTGTGAGCTACGTTCAGCACCACTGTGGGTTCTGCACGCATGATCCTGAGGAGGGAAAATACACACACAGAGAAAAATGTACATTACACCAAAGGTCAGGTGATTATTGTTGAAATGTTGGAGTGTGCATGTATGCGTCTGAAATACATGTGCATGACAGTGTGTGTTCCCTGTGCCTCACTCGTAGAAGTGTGTCTTGGAAATGGAGAGGAAACTGCAGTCTCGGTGGGCTCGGACAGTGAAGATGAGGGGCTCGCCAGTCAGTACAGCCAGCTGGCCCACCAGCTCCCCGGGATGGGTCACAAACAGACACGTGTCCTCCTCGCGGTCGATCATCCGCTGGTACACATGCAGCAGGCCCAAGATCACAAACTGCACACTCACCTCCTGCAACACACACACTGGGATTAATAAAAGTTTCAATACCGGAAGTAATTCATATTTATCCAGAGAGTCCTGGGAAATACCGGAAAAATTGGAAGTGTCCATTTAAAGGGTTTAAAACCAAGATATGGTCACTATGCCAGGGTTCTCCCAAAATAAGATTGTCACTAGGCCACATTGCCGGATGCGCCACTATGTAAAGATTTCACAGCAAGTGAAACTGATATTTATTCATGAGTGTAACTTTGATTGCCAATGACATTGTTGTGAATTGCGAAACAAGCTGTTCATAAATTCAGAGCGTTATCATGTTCCTGAATTAATTCAGCGCATTACAGCAGTAGGCCTAGGCTCTCGACACAGAGCACGCTCAGGACGCACCACGAGTAGGCTATAGCATTGTCAAATCATACAAACTTTGTAACGGCAGTCAAACAAATGCCAAATGACCAAAGTTGCTAAGCTTGCTAGATAACCTCTAACAAATGACAGATTAGCTCCTATTTCGAGTTGATGATTATACAGATAGCAGATCAGCTCATGAATAACGGGGAGATGAAGAGAGGAAATTGTTTAAATATCAAGCTATCTTAACAGGGACCAACTCTGGTAAAAATATATATCCATATCGACATTCATGTTGTTTGTTGATCACACATTCTATCCCGAAGCTCTCTTATGGGCAACAACAGGAGACCGCACAGAGAAGCAGGGGAAATGTTATAGCGGTATTTTGACATGCATATGCGAGACGTGCTTTGATAATGCAACCTATGGATTACAGAATAAAGTTAGGAATTTTCATGCGAGACAGGAGTCAGGATTTAGGGTTTCAGTGAGATTGGGACGACAGGGAAATAGCCTAGACTCTATACAAGGCTACTACGTGATTCAATAGATACATAATACACTTGATTTAGGCTACATTATTGCATCCTAAATGTTTCTGATCAGTGATAGCACATTTATTAGTTTAATCATCTATCACTTTCACGTCCAGCCAGAGATCAATTAACCAAATATACAGACAGAGAATCAGTGAAACAAAATAACATTGACTGATTATCAAAACAAGCCACAGGCTTTCGGTCAGAAATAGGACAGGCTGAAGAGCAAAATCTGCTAATATCTGAGCAAACAAGAATAAAGATGATCATCAGCACTCACCTTAACTTAGCTAACATTTCCCCAGCCTAATTGTTACCAAATATCAAAATGGAGATTCAGTGTTAAATCAATCAATGTCAGATTTTTGTTTATCTAGACTAGTCCCCTGCGCTTGTCTCAAAGCAGCGCGATGGCGCTGTCCCAATCAAAACAGTGCTGAAATGATCATCTAGGTGACCACACACACGACTATTGCTTTAAATGAGTATAATGGTTGGATATGACTCTGGGAATTTCAGTATAAGCCAGAATTTGATACATGCTTCAATGGCATTAGCTGACTTTATTCCAATATGTTCATCATTCAGATGATCATAACTAAAGAGTTCTCTCCTCTCCGCGCTTTTTCTAGGCACAATGGCGGTTTCCTCGTCTCGTCACTCCTCTGCCACCCGCGTTGGCTTTTTTTTCCGGGTTCATTTCATTTCTGTGATTTTGGACCAGGGCTTGGGCTTTAGTTCACTGAGCTTGGGTCAGACCGGGATAGAATTTTCAGTTCTGACGAGAACTCTAAACTGCATTCGGGTTTCGTGTGCACTCTGGCAGTGTCAATTATGCATGTGCTGTGAATGTAAGTCTTCCATACAACAACCTGTTCGTATAATGTGGCATAAAAGAAAATGCCAATATGCTGCTGCACATGTTGTGTATTTTGTGGAATTGCATTAGTGTGACATCGGGGAAATTACATTTTCCCCCAGTCGAATTTCCCCAGTGTTGGGACTATTCCATTGGTCCATTAAGCTATGGAAGCTCAATCCAACACAGATAAGTACATTATTTCAAGTAGTATTTGAACCCAGGTGTGGATGGGTATGATCAATGGGGAATCAGCTTATGGTTGAAGTGAAGCAGCAAGTGTTGTGGTCTGACCTGGTCTCCCTGTCTGGCCACCACAGAGCCTGCTTTGACCTGGTGCAGAGTCACCCTGCCCTCCAACAGACCAGGGTCCTGACAGAGAGGGAGAGATGATGGTACAGCAGGAATAAGGTAGGTGTGAGAGACTGCTATGAATTCAGACATCGACAGAGAAAACATGAGGTCACAAGAGGATGCAAACATGAGGACACAAGTTCCCAGAACACACCCAATACTGTCTCACAGTAGTGCTCTCCATAGATGTAGAATTGCATATGGCCACCGATCCACCCATGGACAGAAGAATGACTTGAAAGGTAATGCCTGTTCTAGTCATTATATTTCTATGGAGAGCATTACTCAGAGAAATAGAAAACATATGGCTGCCGATCCACCCGTCAGAGGAATGACTTAAATGGGAATGTCTAGTAATTATATTTCGATGTATTCTATAACCATGTATTTAACAATATAACCATATATTATAGGTCTATATAGTCCTCCCTGTCCGAAACGTCTCACCTGCAACTGTATGATGCCCAGCAGATCTTTCTTGGCAGCCTGGAAGATGGAGCTGACCTTGCTGGGGTGGACGGTGTCAGAGCGCCCCCCGCTGTCCGTGTAGTGGAACACAGCAGAGGGCGCGTGTTGCATGGTCACACTCTTCTTCAGGATGGACTGGATGAGGGGGAGGGGAGAGAGGGAGGGGGGTTCAGACATGAGTGAGGCAGAGGTCTGTCAGTGGCTGCGTCCCATATGGCACCCTATTCCATATTTAGTGCACTACTTTTGACCAGGGCCCATAGGGAGAGGGAGAAAGGGGGCTCACCTTGTAAATGACAGGGCTGGAGGGGCGCTCGTCTATGGTGACTCTGGCTCGCTCGTACGCCATGTTCAGGTCAATCCCTGTCACCCCTGCTGAGCAGAGAGAGGTATTGATGGGCATAGTGTACGTGTGAAGTCACAAGTGAATGTAGTTGCAGCACTGGGCAGGGGACAAGCCTACCTGTGCCGTCAGTGGGCATAGAGATAGAGCGAGTCTTCCTAAAGGCATTGGATGGGCTGTCTTTCCCAGCGTCTGTGTCCGAGCAGGTTTCTGTGGGTGCAGGTGTGGGGACGAAGACCGGGTCCTCCTGAAAGTGGGGTCTGCGTGGGATCCTGCCCGGACTCCCCTCTCCTATCACCCCAGCAACCGTCACCAAGGTGACCGCCTGACGCTCCTGTCAATCAAAGAGGCAAAATATGACATTAACTATTTACACAATATCAACCTAATCATGCATTTAACAATAACAACACAACACATGTGTCCTTGGATGCATGTTTACATGAGAATACAATATGAGGTGGGTGAACAATAGAATCCTAGAGAAAATCCAATCTGGACGACAGAATTCCACTGTAGAATAAAGTGGCTGTTGGAGAAGATTGGGTCAGGGAGGGTCTGAGTGACGACTTCCAATCCCGCTCTGTGACAGAGAACAATAAAGCTTTAACACTGATGGAAGAGCAGCGGCAAGTGGGTTTAAAAGTTACTGTCCTTCATATTATTTATAGAGGCTTGGGATCCCCGTTATCAATTTTCACTGAGCTTTATGACTCTGCATGGAGGATAGCTTTATGATGCTGGGCTTAATCTGTCTGTCTGTCTGTCTGTGTGTGTGTCTGTGTCTCTTACCGGGTTGAAGAGCTCTGTGGTCAGGCCCAGGTAGTTATGTAATGCCAGGAAGGTCACTCTCTGGAGTCGCACCATGATTATCTGGAACACACACAAACACCAAGGTAGATCAAACACCACTACACAACAATGCCTGTGATACAGCCACAATAACATCTATGGAGAAAGAATTCTCCAGAACAATCAGGGTGTACTTTCAACTCAGGTTAGGCAGAGTATTCACCCTTGGGCCAATAGGGAATAAGGTGCAGTTTGGGATGCAGACCTTGCCATTAGGGGGTCTCGTCCAAAGAGTTGTTTGTTTGAAGTGTGTTTGGGAGTGGGCTGAGGGTTGGCGCCATACCTGAATGACGCGCACCAGAGTCTCGGGGTACTTCTCAAACACAGACTGGAAGGCTGAGGCGGGCAGACGCAGGATAGTGGAGCGAGACGCAGCCCGCGCTGACACAGTCTTATAGGGGGCGGGGTAACCCTGAGGAACACAGGAACCAACCAATCACACAAGGAGGGGGAGATGAGAGGACAAAAGAGACAGGGGAGGAGGTGAATGGAACACTGAAATTAGAAAAATAGGAAGAGGAGAGAGGGAAGAATAGACGTATTGAAAAAGTGATGTCTGAAGGGACAGAGAGAGAGGGAAAAATGAACAGATGAATAGAGGTACAGTAGTTAAGGACAAAAGCAGAGAGCTGGGTGGATGGAGGACAGGACAGGGTTGAGGGAGAGATGGATGATGGAGAAGTGGGTAGAGGATAAGCCAGAGGAGAGGAGGACAGAGGCGGGGTGTGACACGCGTCAGATGGAGGGGAGATATAGGATGTGTCCCAAATGACAGCCAATTCCTTATATAGTGCACCACTTTTGACCACAGCCCTATGGTCAAAGGTAGTGCACTATAAAGGGAATAGGGTCCCATTTGGGACACAGCCGTAAACTCACGGTGATGATGTCCAGAATACTGAGCAGACTGTGGACACTGTCCCCCGGGAGCACGTCCTTCACAACCGGCTCTGTGCCGTCCTGTACCACACACACAGTCTTGTATAACTAAACTTGTGGGAAAAACAATTCAGTCTCATTCAAAATCCTACTTTCACCGCCCCTAACCCTAAACCTAGCTCCTAATCCTAAAACTAACCCTAGCTCCTAACCCTAAACCCAATTCTAACCCTAACACTAATTCTAACGTTAACCCTCTAGAAATAGCATTTGACCTTGTGGGGACTAACAAACTGTCCCCAGTTGGTCCCCACAGGTTTAGTTGAACATGTCCAGAAAGATAAGTTCCCCCAGGTGCACGGAATGATTACATTTACATTACATTTTAGTCATTTAGCAGACGCTCTTATCCAGAGCGACTTACAGTTAGTGAGTGCATACATTTTAAATTGTTTCCATACTGGAATCGAACCCACAACCCTGGCGTTGCAAATGCCATGCTCTACCAACTGAGCTACATCTCTGCCGGCCATTCCCTCCCTTACCCTGGACGACGCTGGGCCAATTGTGCGCCGCCCCATGGGTCTCCCGGTCGCGGCCAGCTACGACAGAGCCTGGATTCGAACCAGGATCTCTAGTGGCACAGCTAGCAATGCGAAGCAGTGCCTTAGACCACTGCGCCACTCGGGAGGTGATAAAATATGATAAAAATGATAAAAATAAGTCTGATATTGACTTAGCTAGCTCTGAGCTTATGTACAGTAGGTTTCATTGTGTATTCCCAGCAGGTATTCTAGCCCGGTCTCACGTTCTCGTGGATGCAGAGTTCCAGACGTCCGTCCTGGACCACGTAGATGCTGTCGTCGTCGTCGCCAGGCCGGAACAGCCCCTCCCCCTCCTGCAGCTCCACAAAGACCATGTGACGACACAGCTCCAGGAACAGAGGCTTTTCAAAGTGGCCCAGCACCCTGAGAGCAGAGGGAAACCGCAGAGTGACACAGAACACACACACACAATGCTACTGGTGTGTGTGTGTGTGTGTGTGCAACAAGGTTGTGATTACCTGACATTTTTTAACATGTAGAGGACCTCTGAGGGCAGGTTGGAGTTCTGCACATCAAACTCAGTCAGGTCAGCCTCCAGCAGGGAGGGAGGGGGCTCCTTGGGCTGCAGAGTGGGGGGCTCCTTACGGATACGCAGGATCCTAAAACACATTAAATGGAAGAGACTAGTGCGCCCTTCCTTATCGGTAATTTCCTCACTTTTGAGTAGAGATAGTACCTGCGAGCTATACTCAGGACTTTGGGTCTCTTCCGAGGGCGCTGCTTGGACACTGAGGTAGAAGATGGAGGGGAGGACAGGGTCTGGACCTGCGAGTGACAGAGACAAAGAGACAGAGAGATAGAATCCACAGAAGGAAGGGGATAATGGGATGAGTTCCCAAAGGCACAAAATGCTATTGCGCTCTGCCCTCTAGTGGCAAAACATGTAAATTTTTCCTATTTTGTTGCCTTACAACCTGGAATTAAAATTGTTTTTTGGGGGGGTTTGTATCATTTGATTGACAACATGCCTACCACTTTGAAGATATTTATTGTGAATATTTTTTATTGTGAAACAAACAAGAAATAAGACAGAAAAACAGAAAACTTGAGCGTGCATTACTATTCACCCCCCCAAAGGCAATACTTTGTAGAGCCACCTTTTGCAGCAATTACAGCTGCAAGTCTCTTGGGGTGTCTCTATAAGCTTGGCACATCTAGCCACTGGGATTTTTGCCCATTCTTCAAGGCAAAACTGCTCCAGCTCCTTCAAGTTGGATGGGTTCCGCTGGTGTACAGCAATCTTTAAGTCATACCACAGATTCTCATTTGGATTGAAGTCTGGGCTTTGACTAGGCCATTCCAAGACATTTAAATGTTTCCACATAAACCACTCGAGTGTTGCTTTAGCAGTATGCTTAGGGTCATTGTCCTGCTGGAAGGTGAACCTCCGTCTCAGTCTCAAATCTCTGGAAGACTGAAACAGGTTTCCCTCAAGAATTTCCCTGTATTTAGCGCCATCCATCAGTCCTTCAATTCTGACCAGTTTCCCAGTCCCTGCCGATGAAAAACATCCCCACAGCATGATGCTGCCACCACCATGGTGTTCTCGGGGTGATGAGACATAGCAATTTCCTTGATGGCCAAAAAGCTCAGTTTTAGTCTCATCTGACCAGAGTACCTTCTTCCATATGTTTGGGGGGTCTCCCACATGCCTTTTGGTGAACACCAAACGTGTTTGCTTATTTTCTTCTTTAAACAATGGCTTTTTTCTGGCCACTCTTCTGTAAAGCCCAGCTCTGTGGAGTGTACGGCTTAAAGTGGTCCTATGGACAGATACTCCAATTTCCGCTGTGGAGCTTTGCAGCTCCTTCAGGGTTATCTTTGGTCTCTTTGTTGCGTCTCTGATTAATGCCCTCCTTGCCTGGTCCTTGAGTTTTGGTGGGCGGCCCTCTCTTGGCAGGTTTGTTGTGGTGCCACATTCTTTCCATTTTTTAATAATGGATTTAATGGTGCTCCGTGGGATGTTCAAAGTTTCAGATATTTTTTTATAACCCAACCCTGATCTGTACTTCTCCACAACTTTGTCCTTGACCTGTTTGAAGAGCTCCTTGGTCTTCATGGTGCCGCTTGATTGGTGGTACCCCTTGCTTAGTGGTGTTGCAGACTCTGGGGACTTTCAGAACAGGTGTATATATACTGAGATCTTGTGACACTTAGATTGCACACAGGTAGACTTTAACTAATTGGTCCTCTGTAGCTCAGCTGGTAGAGCATGGCGCTTGTAACGCCAAGGTAGTGGGTTCGATCCCCGGGACCACCCATACACAAAAAAGGTATGCACGCATGACTGTAAGTCGCTTTGGATAAAAGCGTCTGCTAAATGGCATATTATTATGATTTATTCTTAAGGTAATTGGTTGCACCAGATCTTATTTAGGGGCTTCATAGCAAAGGGGGTGAATACATATGCACACACCACTTTTCCGTTATTTAGTTTTGAGAATTTTTTTTTACAAGTTATTTATTTTATTTCACTTCACCAATTTGGACTATTTTGTGTATGTCCATTACATGAAATCCAAATAAAATCCATTTAAATTACAGGTTGTAATGCAACAAAATAGGAAAATGCCAAGGGGGATGAATACTTTTGTAAGGCACTGTATGAGTGTTGAAACTCATAGGCCTGTATTCATAAAGTGTCTCAGAAAAGTAGTAATTGCTGATTTAGGATCAGGTCCCCGCTGTCCACGTAATTGTCTTCATTATAATCCAAAAGGCTAGATCCTAGATCAGCACTCCTACTCTGAGGCACTTTATGAATATGGGCCCTGATAAATAATGCATGGGATAGAGATGAGTGACTTGGTGAAGAATCACTTCCATTTTCCCATGTGAAGGTAGTATTGTAGCGAATTCGGGGGATAGCTCAGACCGGAATACAAACCTGGGTCCAAAGACTGTAAACCCAACACCTTAGCCGTTACACTCAGAGATCCCTATGGGCCATGGTCAAAAGTACTGGCCCTATAAAGGGACTAGGGTGCCATTTGGACCACATACCAATAATGACTAACCTTCCTCATAATCTTCCTGCCGTAGAAGAGCACCTTGTCTCTCTTCCTGAAGCGATAGCGGGGAACAGCCTGCTGTCCACCTTCGAATACAGACACAACATGCTATCAACATAGATAACAGCACTTATGCAACAGTGGCTACTGAGCATACAACGAATGAACAATGAATGATGTCCCGTAAAACATAGGATTCTCTCTGTTCAGGGCCAATTCATAAGTCCCATTATTAATTCCTATTATTATGGTGATGTGGTTACATTTTGTGATTTGCCCCAAAATGTATTCAGTTACTTTAATGTCAAGTTTAATATCAACTGTTTCCTTGCCCCTCATGTTTGTCCCATGAAGTGGGGAGGAAGAGGATGGATGACTCACTGGCCAGCTTGTATCTTCTATAGAGGAAGAGCACCACGATGCCGATTAGAGACACTGCCACCACAGCCCCGATCAGCACGCCAGTCAACTGGACAACAGAACAACAAGGTTATTACCATAAAGATCCATTAAATTACAGTGTTCTATTCAATTCTATGGTTATTTTGGTGTCAGACACATACACTGGGAACCACAGAACATTCCAACAACAACAAACATGACCACATAAGTCTGATCAAGAAGTCATGGAGAGACCAAAGGGGAATGTGGGGGACCACATCAAAGACCTCCTTCCTCTTTTTGTTTGTTCGTTATTGATGTCTAAGGAGGCTTTACTATACATTCTTGATGTAGGATTTACTTTCAGAAGGCCAGAGACTTTACTACTATGTTAGTTTTTTTTGCATTATTAAAAAGTTTTGCATGGATGGAAACAGAAGTTTATCTGGGGTGCATGCACACCGTAGCAACAGTAGCAAAACGTTTCACAAACAAAAAACGTTTTGCAACGTAAACGTGAGTTTCTATAGGACAAGTTCAGGTATGTCCCTCCCCATTTCGTTCCGTTTGCGTCTTAACCGAACGGAGGTAAACAGAAGCAAACGGAGCGAAACAGGGAGGGACCTACCTGAATTTGTCCAATAACAAATTAATGATGTTGTGAATTTTGCTGCGGTGAAAATGTTTTGCTACGGTGTGCGACAATAAATACACCCTAGCTAAGTACACATTCACTTTCATAAAGCTTAGTGGATCTCTGTACCATGGTAGTCTGCATCCTCTCCTCCACAAACTGCTGGACACGTGCCCTGATATCATCCCTGCTAGGCACCTTTCCTACTAAGTACTGAGGAGAAACATGCAAACAAACTCATAAAGGAAATAATTGATGCAGAGTGCAGACAACTGCAAAGATGTATAGTTCCAGTAACCCCCCTACACACAACGGATTCAATATTGTGATAAGAGGAGTGCTTGCAAATAAATGGTGATGTTCATTCTCAAAGATATTTTGTGTAATAGAACATGGTATTTACTGGACTTAAGATACCGTTTTCAGTCCTGACATTTCATCTTTGAGATTGTGACTGGTCCAACTGCACTGGTCATCAGCATCCTCTTCCCCGTCCATTCCTACACACACACACACACACACACACACACACACACACAAATGGGGTGAGGAGAGCATGGATGGAGAAAGTAGCTAAAGTAGCTCCCAAACTAGCTACTGATTGTAAGCCAGATAATGTGATACAGTGCCGTCAAAAAGTATTTGGCCCCTTTCTGATTCTCTATTTTTACATATTTTGGACACTGAATGTAAATCAGATCTTCAACCAAAACCTAATATTAGATAAAGGGAACCTGAGTGAACAAATAACATAGATACTTTTATTTATTTAATAAACAAAGTTATGCAACACCCAATGCCCCTGTTTGAAAAAGTAATTGCTCCCTTACACTCAATTACTGGTTGTGCCACCTTTAGCTGCAATGACAGCAACCAAATGCTTCCAGTAGTTGTTGATCAGCCTCTCACTGATGGGTCCCGTTATGTCTGGTGAAAACTGCATTCCACAGAAATAACTTCATACCAACAGCGGTAGTGTGATGCTTTGGAGATGCTTTGCTTCCTCAGGACCTGGACGACTTGTCATTATTGAAGGAACCATGAATTCTGCTCTGTATCAGAGAATTCTTATTTTTAAAATAATATTTACATTTTTAGGGTTACAAACTTATACATACGAACAACAACTTACAGACGCACACAAACTACTACAGTGCCTTTAGAAAGTATTCACACAGCTTGAATTTTTCAACATTTTGTTGTGTTACAGCAATTTAAAATGGATTAAATGTAGATGTTTTTGTCACTGGCCTACACACAATAGCCCATGATATCGAAGTGGTGTGAAAAAGTGTTTGCCCCATTCCTGATTTCTTATTTGTTTGCATGTTTGTCACACTTAAAATGTTTCAGATCAAACAAATTTAAATATTAGTCAAAGATAACACAAGTAAACACAAAATGCAGTTTTGAAATGAGACAAGATCGTAATCACGAAATTGGGGAGAAAAAATATATAATGAATAAATAACCAATATGCAGAAATGTGTGATATATTGAAAACATAAAATGTACTATCTACACATACATGTGCAACAACAGTAATCATATGACTTGTATTTTTTTTTAAACAAGCACCTTTTTTTGAAACTACCACAACAACAAAAAACGTTGAAACCGGAGATATTTTTACATCACTGTTTAGAGGACAAGCTGCAGAAGAAAGTCAGCGACATTTTGGAATGTTGCTTTTTTTTTTTTATACGGTGGTCACCAACAGAAAGAAAAACGCAACACTTTTGTGAATACATTTTACATCACTGGTTAGAAGATAATTTGTTGAAGACAGTCATGTAAATTCTAGAATGTCGGATGGAGATTCTGGGAGGCTGCCGAAAACAAATCAGTTTCTTTGTTATTTAACTTCAACGAATCATGACACGGCATAGGATATTAACACTGACAAGGGTTGACTGTTATTTAAGTGATAGTTTGACTCTCCAAAATTGGTGTATGGCCATCGACTTTTATTCAGAGAGCCCCCTGAATTTTCAAGTAGGGTCTATCTGCGGACCGCAGACTGGGTGTCGATCGACTACATACCGTGCCCACCAAGTACTACCACGCGAGAGTTGGGTTCAATAGGTTCTGGCTCCAGCAGATGTGCACTAGCTAGCGTGCACGCTAGCTTTGCACGCTACAAGTACCTTCAATGGCAGTGAGCTCAGCATGTAGTTACTGCAGTCCACAGATGGATATTAATGGAATTTTCTGTGCCATTTGAGCTTAAAAATGATAACGGCATTCAAAGTCCTGTGACGGACAGGTGCATATAACAAAATCAACGGTACCAAATCAAATATACAGTGAGGGAAAAAAGTATTTGATCCCCTGCTGATTTTATACATTTGCCCACTGACAAAGAAATGAGCTGAGATTAGGAGCACACTCTTAAAGGGAGTGCTCCTAATCTCAGTTTGTTACCTGTATAAAAGACACCGGTCCACAGAAGCAATCAATCAATCAGATTCCAAACTCTCCACCATGGCCAAGACCAAAGAGCTCTCCAAGGATGTCAGGGACAAGATTGTAGACCTACACAAGGCTGGAATGGGCTACAAGACCATCGCCAAGCAGCTTGGTGAGAAGGTGACAACAGTTGGTGCGATTATTCGCAAATGGAAGAAACACAAAAGAACTGTCAATCTCCCTCGGCCTGGGGCTCCATGCAAGATCTCACCTCGTGGAGTTGCAATGATCATGAGAACGGTGAGGAATCAGCCCAGAACTACACAGGAGGATCTTGTCAACGATCTCAAGGCAGCTGGGACCATAATCACCAAGAAAACAATTGGTAACACAATACGCCGTGAAGGACTGAAATCCTGCAGCGCCCGCAAGGTCCCCCTGCTCAAAAAAGCACATATACATGCCCGTCTGAAGATTGCCAATGAACATCTGAATGATTCAGAGGAGAACTGGGTGAAAGTGTTGTGGTCAGATGAGACCAAAATGGAGCTCTTTGGTATCAACTCAACTCGCCGTGTTTGAAGGAGGAGGAATGCTGCCTATGACCCCAAGAACACCATCCCCACCGTCAAACATGGAGGTGGAAACATTACGATTTGGGGGTGTTTTTCTGCTAAGGGGACAGGACAACTTCACCGCATCAAAGGGACAATGGACAGGGCCATGTACCGTCAAATCTTGGGTGAGAACCTCCTTCCCTCAGCCAGGGCATTGAAAATGGGTCGTGGATGGGTATTCCAGCATGACAATGACCCAAAACACACAGCCAAGGCAACAAAGGAGTGGCTCAAGAAGAAGCACATTAAGGTCCTGGAGTGGCCTAGCTAGTCTCCAGACCTTAATCCCATAGAAAATCTGTGGAGGGAGCTGAAGGTTCGAGTTGCCAAACGTCAGCCTCGAAACCTTAATGACTTGGAGAAGATCTGCAAAGAGGAGTGGGACAAAATCCCTCCTGAGATGTGTGCAAACCTGGTGGCAAACTACAAGAAACGTCTGACCTCTGTGATTGCCAACAAGGGTTTTGCCACCAAGTACTAAGTCATGTTTTGCAGAGGGGTCAAATGCTTATTTCCCTCATTAAAATGCAAATCAATTTATAAAATTTTTTACATGCATTTTTCTGGATTTGTTTGTTGTTATTCTGTCTCTCACTGTTCAAATAAACCTACCATTAAAATGATAGACTGATAATTTATTTGTCAGTGGGCAAACGTACAAAATCAGCAGAGGATCAAATACTTTTTTCCCTCACTGTATTAATCTATATATTAAAGCATTCAATTTAATGTATTCGTGATGACTGTATACCTTTATATTAACATCACCAATCTGAAGCAAAAACGAATGTGTAGCTAATTCCACTAACTTTTATGTGGTGGAAATGCAAGCTTGTGTAATGTAATGTTAGTAGCTAACCAGCGCAATGATTAACACGTTGTCTGACCATAGGGAAATTAGCGTAATATAGCTAACATAATTAAATATGTCAAAGTATTTATATTTATATATATATATTTATATTTATATTTATATATATATATATATATTTATATATACAGTGGGGAGAACAAGTATTTGATACACTGCCGATTTTGCAGGTTTTCCTACTTACAAAGCATGTAGAGGTCTGTAATTTTTATCATAGGTACACTTCAACTGTGAGAGACGGAATCTAAAACAAAAATCCAGAAAATCACATTGTATGATTTTTAAGTAATTAATTTGCATTTTATTGCATGACATAAGTATTTGATACATCGGAAAAGCAGAACTTAATATTTGGTACAGAAACCTTTGTTTCCAATTACAGATATCATACGTTTCCTGTAGGTCTTGGCCAGGTTTGCACACACTGCAGTAGGGATTTTGGCCCACTCCTCCATACAGATCTTCTCCAGATCCTTCAGGTTTCGGGGCTGTCGCTGGGCAATACGGACTTTCAGCTCCCTCCAAAGATTTTCGATTGGGTTCAGGTCTGGAGACTGGCTAGGCCACTCCAGGACCTTGAGATGCTTCTTACGGAGCCACTCCTTAGTTGCCAGCCCTGGCTGTGTGTTTCGGGTCGTTGTCATGCTGGAAGACCCAGCCACGACCCATCTTCAATGCTCTTACTGAGGGAAGGAGGTTGTTGGCCAAGATCTCGCGATACATGGCCCCATCCATCCTCCCCTCAATACGGTGCAGTCGTCCTGTCCCCTTTGCAGAAAAGCATCCCCAAAGAATGATGTTTCCACCTCCATGCTTCACGGTTGGGATGGTGTTCTTGGGGTTGTACTCATCCTTCTTCTTCCTCCAAACACGGCGAGTGGAGTTTAGACCAAAAAGCTATATTTTTGTCTCATCAGACCACATGACCTTCTCCCATTCCTCCTCTGGATCATCCAGATGGTCATTGGCAAACTTCAGACGGGCCTGGACATGCGCTGGCTTGAGCAGGGGGACCTTGCGTGCGCTGCAGGATTTTAATCCATGACGGCGTAGTGTGTTACTAATGGTTTTCTTTGAGACTGTGGTCCCAGCTCTCTTCAGGTCATTGACCAGGTCCTGCCGTGTAGTTCTGGGCTGATCCCTCACCTTCCTCATGATCATTGATGCCCCACGAGGTGAGATCTTGCATGGAGCCCCAGACCGAGGGTGATTGACCGTCATCTTGAACTTCTTCCATTTTCTAATAATTGCGCCAACAGTTGTTGCCTTCTCACCAAGCTGCTTGCCTATTGTCCTGTAGCCCATCCCAGCCTTGTGCAGGTCTACAATTTTATCCCTGATGTCCTTACACAGCTCTCTGGTCTTGGCCATTGTGGAGAGGTTGGAGTCTGTTTGATTGAGTGTGTGGACAGGTGTCTTTTATACAGGTAATGAGTTCAAACAGGTGCAGTTAATACAGGTAATGAGTGGAGAACAGGAGGGCTTCTTAAAGAAAAACTAACAGGTCTGTGAGAGCCGGAATTCTTACTGGTTGGTAGGTGATCAAATACTTATGTCATGCAATAAAATGCAAATTAATTACTTAAAAATCATACAATGTG